TTTACAATGCACTTCTGTCCAGAAACATTCTTTGTAATACAAAGATATTCCATATTCATTTCATCTGTCGTCTTAACATGATACCCATTTCGGCGGATATCTATAAAACCCAATAAGTTTCTTCGGGACTTGGAGGAGAACAATGCATTGTCTATAATAAGTTTTGTTCCCATCGACAGAAATATAGTGGCTCTTCCGGAGCCTTCAATCAAACTTATATTACCAGAAATTGTTGAAACATTTGCTTTTTCCTTATGCAAATAAGAAAAGTATTTCTGATCTTTGAATATGGCATGAGTTATTCCACTATCAATTACACAAATATCTTCATGATTGGTCTTTGATCCAAACATAATTTGAGGATTATCCATATTCTTCAAAATGACATAAATAAAATAAATATGATAGTAAACATCATTATCAAAGCATAACTTTTTATTTATGTACAACAATTACATAACCATACTATCTACTACAAACAATAAAAATTATAAAAAAATTACATGTCTACAGATTCATCACCGATCACATGACTTGTTTCTCTTTTCGGGAGTGCAAAGTAATCAACTACATCCAAATGCATGAAGTCTAAATTATCTTCAGAAATAAAATTTGCTTCAGTATTTTTCTGTCTTCTTTAGGGAGGCTTGATAAAACTCAACCATGTGCTTTGGCGTATGACAGGTACGTAACCAATGCCCTTTTCCTCCACATCTATAGCATACATTTTCTGCCTTTGTTGCTTGCACCGCTTCATGCTTTTGTTCCTTCCTTTTCCACTGGTGGTAAGGAGGAGAGTTCTTTGGTGCATTATTATTACCATGATTAGAGTTTCTTCCCCGACCATGGCTATGATCACGACTGGGGCCACGACCTCTTCCACGCTTAGCTTGGTAGAAGTTCGGCTCATTCACTTCAGGGAATGGACAAAAAGCAGTAGGTTGGCTTTCATGGTTTTTCATTAATATCCCATTATGTTGCTCGGCTACAAGAAGATGTGAGATAAGTTCAGAATACTTTTTGAATCCTATTTCTCGATATTGCTGCTGCAGGAGCATATTCGAGGCATAAAAAGTGGTAAAAAATTTCTCCAACATATCATGATCAGTAATATTAACACTACATAATTTCAATTGGGAAATAATTCTGAACATAGCATAATTATACTCACTGATAGATTTAAAACCGTGTAGCCTTAGATGAGTTCAATCATAATGTGCTTGTAGAAGAAAGAACATCTTCAGGTGGTCATATCTATCTTTCAAATTATTTCACAGTATGACTGGATCTTTAATAGTGAGATATTCCATTTTCAAACCTTCATCAAGGTGATGGCGTAGGAATATCATTGCTTTGGCGCGATCTTGATTTGATGCTTGATTTTTGTCCTTGATGGTGTCTGCCAGACCCATCGCATTAAGATGAATTTAGCATCAAGCACCCAAGACATGTAGTTTTTGCCCGATATATCCAGGGCTACAAATTTAAGTTTAGAAAGATTTGACATTATTTAGAAAAAGAAAGTTCGTACCTCTAATACTTTTAGAGTATTTGCTCGAGATGGCAGAGTCTCGTATTGATAACGTGTTATAAAATAAAGACTGTAAAGTAAAGATAAGTATAGAGAGAAACTGATATATTATTCAAACTTCAAACTTATGTACATAATGAATTGAAATCTCCTCTTATAGAAGAAAGGAAGTTGTTGTGTAAGCTGCTTGTAAGTTGCTACTGTACCAGATATAGATAATCTTCTACCGGGGGTAATATTTATCCATAACGGAGTACCGAAAGGATAAGCTCATTGTACCAGATATAGATAATCTTTTACCGGGGGTGATGTTTATTCATAACGGAGTATCGAAAAGATAAGCTCATTGTACCACATATAGATAATCTTCTACTGGGGATGATGTTTATCCATAATGGAGTAAGAAAGGATAAGCTCATTGTACCAGATATAGATAATCTTCTACCGGAGGTGATGTTTATCCATAACGGAGTACCGAAAGGATAAGTTTCTTCAGGAGGCTTATTTCCAATAGAGTACTAAATAGATAAACATATTTACGACGGAGTCTCATATAGATAAGCTTCTTCAGGAAGCTTATTTACAACGGAGTACTAAATGAACATCCATAATATAATATATTTATAACAAATATTTAAATTTGACAAAAATGTGAGATTATTCGATTTTATGTTTGGTTAGATATTTCGGTATAAGAAATTGCGAGAATAGTTATACCACAATCTTAATTATATTTTTATTCTACATTCAATGTGGGATAATAATTTGGGAATTAGCTATCCTAGGATAAAATAATCAGATGACCAAAATATCCTTCTCCAAAGCGCTTATTCCAAAATCCTTTAAGAAGACTAAGGTTAAAGTTGAAAATAAAATTTTATCCAAGTTTATATATGAAAAAATCAAACGCGTTGTTTATATTAAACTCCATATATTAAATTTTAATTCAATGAACCTAATATTTATCAATTGAAAGTATGTCTAATAAATATTTTCTTTATTATTTAATCTCTTTATTATAATTTTCGCATTATAGTCCCAGTATAACTTTTTTCAAACTAAAAAGACCCCTTAGGGTTGTATAAATCTTTTCTTATAAAGGAGAGGATTGGCGCTCAAAACAATTAGACAATAAGGAAAAAATAATTGGAGTTAAATTGATAAAAATACAAACTTGAAACAATAAGGATAAGATAGTAGAAGATAAATTTTAAAAGAATTTATTTTATTTTTTCTATTTATTCCAATAAATGACAACTCTCGATGTTTTTTTAATGTTTCTAAGTTATTTATTGTAAAATATTAACTCATTATTAGTTACTTTTAGATTGTACACTATAATTATTAATTTTTCTTGAGCTATAGGTACAACCTCTTCATTGCAAAATCTCTAAAGAGATAAAAAAAATTAAATAGATTTTATTTGACAAATCTTTAAAGAATCTTGATAATAATATTTATACATTACTTGCTTGTTTTTAGTATTAGGTCACAGAAATAGCAACAAATTTCATAAAATATTCCCACATAAGTCTTAAGAATAAGAATAAAGCATTTAAGGATTTTTATATAGATAGATTTCTTCCTTTATTGAGTTAGCTAAATGGGATCAACATTCATCTATTATTTATGTATTTTTTTAAAATTATTTATTCATTGATATGGGGTACATGCTTTGCGCGTACTAGTATTAAATAATTGGTTCAACGGTATCACACAAAGATCAGTCTCTAGCTGCAAGTTCGGCTTAATCTATGTGCTTGGTCATATTCACTTGCTCTTTCTTATAGCTTACTTTTTTACATAGAAAAGATTGAGCCTCTAAAACTTGCAAACCACAAGATAAGTATGGTAGAACTAGATGGATGCACAAATATATAAAATTAAAAATGATCTTATGTGACACAAGGTGCAAGTAGCGCACAAAAGATAAAATGAGGAGAAGTGACAAGAAAAGATTGATCATGTGTGAACATCTATATGCACCAATCTATGATGTGATATATGATGATTGAATATGCTAAAACGATTTACAAGGTTCAGTTACATGAGTTTAAGCCAATAGAACTTGCTACTAAATGTGTTAATCGGGCCGGACCGCCCCACTAACAACCCGGTTCGACCCGGTTCACGAGCCTTTTTTGATTACCGGTGCACTGGAATCCGGCTAGCCCTTCAAGGGTTTTAACCGAGCCCAATTTAAGTTATAATTTTTTTTTTTAAATTCTCACAGTTGCCAGCTATCAAAATAAAAAATGATTGTTGGACAATGGCCATTTTTTGCACTTTTAGTCATTTCGGCCTATCCCTCTACTAAAATAGCTCATTCACCCCTAATAATTGATAAATTATATTTTTAGCCTTGTAAAAACTATAAATACCCCCCTCTTTTTTATTTTTCTCACAACTTGCTCTCTTTTTCTACTCTAGTTCTCTCTCAATTCCCTCTTGATTATTGAATTGCTTATTGCTCCCAAATTCTCAATTAATTAATATTTCAAATTTTATCAATTATTTACGGTAGCCACTACAAAATTATCAAGTGATGTGTGGTTACCGTTTTTGTTAGGTTCAAGTTAAATCATGCCCCGTGCTTCTAGAGTGCGCTCATATATTTGGGAACACTTTGACGTGGTAGAAGAAAATGAAAAAGTTTGCAAAATAGAGTGCAAGAACTGTGGTCAAATTTTTAATGTTCGTCGAAAGTGGGAGGGCACAGCTAGTTTAAGGAGGCATATCAAGGGTTGTCTTGAGCGTCCTACAGAAATTCGTATTTAAGTTGATTTGAGACAATTTATGTTATTTTGAATTTGTTAGACTTATTTAAGCTTAATATGTTAGTTTTATTAGACAAGTTAATTTGAAGTATTATTATGCAATAAAAATATGAAATGAAAGCCTTTGAAGTTTGATCCTTACATATTGATCATATTAAATAATTTTATGTAGCCACTTGATTTCAATTTTAAAATTCAAATTTCAAACTTTAAACTTTAAACTTTAATTTTATGTCTTACAATACTTATTTTATTATTTAAGAATTTGCAAACACTTAAGTATCAATTACATTGAACAAGAAAATATAATACACTTAAAAAAATATTAATTTGGTCCGATCCAGAGCCGATAAGCCCGAACCCAAACGGATCCAACGAAACCCGAAATATCCCAGCCCACTAACCAGACGGGCTATTTTTTTTCCATGTCCAACCCGTCCAGTAAACACCTATACTTGCTACTGAACCTGATACTGTCAATTGACAACTTTTAACATTAGGAAGTAAACACATTTAAAGTAATTTATTCTTAACGTCAAATTTAGCAGCTCTAAGAAAGGTATATTGAGATTATAAAAATTTTAATTGCCATATGCGCAAAGTTCATCTTTGTAGTCAATCCATTCCAAACGAAATTTATTCTATCTATTTTGTTGCCTAACTACCCCTTAATACGCAGCATTACAAGGTGCTGGAGATAAAGTAAATAACTTAAATAGAATTAAAAATCTAGTAATTTCAGTAGTTTGAACGGGAAAGTGAAAAACTTCTCCTAATTGACCATTATCGAACAGCCCAGACTGCAGTAAACTGACAATTACAAGCACTAAACATATACAAAGACCAACAACATGGAAAACTTTCAGAAACCTAAGCGGCATAATCCTTGTCATAGTATTTGTCTTCAGGATAATAAATAGCAATAACTGTATTTCCTCCAAATTTCCTGCCACCAAGCGCAGCCTTTGCATTGCTACAACCAGTAACGTCCGAGTACTCGAGAAATACCTGCAATTTGGAACACAAACACCCATGTGAAACAATGAGAATGAAATTCAAGATCGACAGTCTCTTATCACTGCAGTTGGTTATCCTCGACAATTGCTCTCATGGCTAACACACCCATATCTGGTGAACTTTCAAGATATCCCATACCGGTAGAGTTATCCTCGACGATAATGCTACATTGTGTGTGCTTAATGTGGATTAAATAACGAGTCTTCTCCGTGCAGCAAAAAACACAAACACATACTTTCAACATTTTCAGAGTCTACACTACCTTCATTTACCAATATCTGTAGGAGAGAAGAAAGAAAGCCTACAACTTGCGTATGCATCATTTTCTCCTTCACAAATTGAGTAACGTAGAAATTCTATAATGATTATCTCAGATCTAGAACCAAACAAGTACAGAAGAAAAGAAGGGACGACTGCAAGTAACAGAACACCTTACTTTCCCATTTTCAACCAGGAAATAACCATGGGCTTTTCTGCTTTTCATGGCAGCAAACTTGTACAGGTTTTATTGCTCAGTTGTACAACAATATAAAGTATTTGTAGAGCACAAAACAAAGACAAATGCTCGAAATAACATTGAGTCAATTCCTAAAGCTTGGACACAAAAATGACAACATTATTACCTTCCCATGACCTTCGATAATTTGATGATCAGGTTCTGGCCGAGGTATAACAACATCAATCAAGTCACCTATAATTCAGACAAACAAAATCCTTTAATGATGCAGCAATACTTAATCCTACAAATTGAAGGGCACACATGAGAGGGAAAACTCAAGATAAAAAAAATACAATACATTAGGAATTTTAATTAATCAAATTTTTACGAATCTTTTATCATCCATTCAAAGAAGTTTTAGTAGCAAGAACTTCTCATAGAACAGAAGTTCTCTTCTTCTTCTTTTTTGTTTTTTTGAAGTGGCAATAATTGTATTCATAAACAGCACAAAGGTAGTGCTGGGCTTTCTGTACAAATGAGCAAAACAACCAAAAATATAGCCCTCTTCTGGTATGGATATCTTTTTCTTCTAATTTCTTCTTCATTCAAATCTTAAAATTTCTTCTTTATTCAATTATATATGGAGGTAAGGCATCAACCATCATACGATAACTTTTTTGCTGTTCCAAGGTATCAAAAAGAAGAGTCCACAGGCAAGCAACTCCCTGTGTACTGTTGCAGTTATTTAAAATAGCCCATAATTAATCAATCTGAAAGTGGCTCCTGTTCAATCATCTTTTCTGAATAGAAGCATTTTCTATGTGAATACGGCAAACAGATTGAAACATAAACAACATATTCTTATAAATTAAAAAAAAAAAGAGAACAAAAGAAATGTCAATGAATGAGAAGCTGTAGTCACCAAATTTTCGGCCTTCTTCTTTCATGTCTTCCAAAATTTCTCCATACTCTACGTCATCAAACAATTCTTGAGGGGTAATTACCTTCAATACATACAGAGGAAGATAACCTATCAGAATTACTTTGATATTTTTATCATTACCTTTAAATATAAGTTATATAACGAATATCCTTATCTCTAAGACGTGTAAATACCTCAGTTAAGCATAACACCTTGGTTGGAATTTCAGCAGTCACAACAGGCCCTATCTCTGTACCAGGAATAGTCATACCACCAGCTTCAAAAGCCATTTTCTGCAAGCAAGCAGCATAGTCCTTAAGCGATCAAAAGTCGAGAAAAATGCTCACTCTGTCCGGATCACTTATTTGACCAATTTTAAGAGTTAGATTGGATCAGTTTTATTTATTAGATCGAATTAAAATTTAGACATTCAGAAATTTCACCAGAAGCTCTACAAATCTCAATTTGCTGATATCAAAATATTAGTCAAAGTTCACTGAGCTCAAAACTCGGGAAGTTAAAAAGGTTGAAGCATTTGGGTCAGAGGAGTATTTAGACTAAAAGGGCAGCGCGGTGCACAAAGCATCTCGCATTCACGCAGGGTCCGGGGGAAGGACCGCACGCCAAGGGGTGTGGTGTAGATAGCCTACCCTAATGGCTGCTTCCACGGCTCGACCCCGTGACCTATAGGTCACACGGAGACAACTTTACAGATGCTCCAAGGCTCAGAAGAGTATTAAGAATATTAAGTTAATACTGTAGATAACATTCAACCTGCATAGCTATATGTTGCCTTGCCTGAGCTAATATACACTCCTGTTCAGATTTCACCTGCCCACTGCTGTTAAACATGATAGGAAAAAGTCATATAAAAGAAAATAATAAAATTACCATCGAGTGGTTAAATATAGAATAGCCCTTTCCTTACTGCAAGTGCGGTTCCAGCAACAAAACATGAAAGACATGCCATGAATTCCCAGTCCCCTTCAACAAAATAACATATGGAAGGCATAGACCATGTACGGAGGGAAGTTAATCATCATTCAAAAGTAAAATTTTCTGCTTGAACATAAGTCAAGCCCAAGGCAGTTTACAAATTCTACTTTTTGAGCCAACGAAGCAAGCATGCAAGACACTTGTTTCTGAAAGCACATGACTGATTACTGAACAATCAGTAGCTACACTGATTCTGTACTCTGACTCTGAACTATCAGTAGCTACACTGTTCCCAAGGACTAACAAAATCGAAATTACAAAATTCTCAGACTATCTAAATGGGTAGAAACCACACGTTTCTTGGGTCGCATAATGTACTTCTGCATATCTTCTCAGAGGAAGGTCATCTCTTATACATGAACCTCGAAAACATAATCTGTTAATATACAATGTAGATCTGGATGATGACACCAAATGTAAACAATCAGAAGAGTTCGGTTTAGAAAATTTAATCTGTTATCATAATGGTGAGAACATGCTTTTGATACTAAACAGAATTAGATGTACGACAAAGAAGTCATGACGAACCCATCCCACTAAAACACAAACACAGAGGAGATACAGGAATTAGAAAAAATTCCAAAAGAAATATTGCATGCCTCACAAATTTCCAGTCTTCAGTCACTGGATTTCATAAACGCTGGATAAAAACATACCTAGAGTTAGCACGTCGAACCGTCAGTGTCTTGTCACCCATCTTTAAGCCGTTTAACGCTGCACAAGCAATGTCTGTAACTAATGGGTCCTGAAGCAAGTAATAGTTGGTTACTACCCAATATAAGGTAAAACCTTCTTCAGCATTATCAAGAAGCAATGGGGATTTCATCCAAAGGAGGTGAAAAGCCGAGATGTAGAAGAAACAGAGGAGGACAATTCAGTGTGGACTCGGTGAAACATCTGCAAATTTGGTATATTTGTTAGCATTTCACTTAACTGGCATGAGGATGAAACCTTATCCCTGCTTATCAAAATAGGAAGATGCTGGACGGAGAGAAGTGCTGGCAAGGAGAATTATTGCTGGCAAGGAGAATTACAAAATTCTACCTATGCTTGGAAATCTAAATACATCGGGAGGACTTCATTTGTAACTAACGAGATTGACAACTTCAGTGAACTATGACAGAGGGTTAAGGAGAATAATCAGCATAGGAACAATGGAGAGAGATTAGGTAAATTATCTGCAAACAGCTAATATGCTGCAGTGAAGAAGCTGAGTTGGGCTGTAGGATCAGCACAGGTATCTATGAGAGCCCATAATGTGGAACTGAAATGGAGGCAGCTGCGGAGGAAGTAATACTGACGATTGAGAAACTGAGTATATCGCATTAGCTGATAAGCAGGAGAAGTTTGCTGGTGGGAAATTGTTTCTTAAGATAATTCACTTGGGCTAAATGGACTTAGGGAAGTAGGAAGAAGTGAAAAATCCATATAGAGACAAACAGGATTCAAGGTTATTTCTTTATTGTATGTCTAGATAAAGTAGGTGATCCAGTATTAGGTTTATTTTTAGTGGTCCTCTGTGCTCCCTTGTCATATATCGACAATGTTTGGTGCAGTATTAAGCAATTGCTTTGAAGTATCAACAACAAAAAAACAAATTTGAGCCTGCAAGGGGACCCAAGACATCGATCAGCAAGCTCTCGATCTCAAACCATAGGATCAAGTAACTGAGAGAAAAGAGTATGCATTCCTGCTACTACAAGAACAAAAAATGGATCCTGAAATGCACATAAACTATAAAGCCAAAACTTCAATATAGCAAACATTCAGTGTAAACTGTAAAGGGCATGGGATTACATTAATTGAAGGATAACGAGTAAAATATCAATTTATGGAATGATAATTATTAAACAAAAAAAATGAAGATCCACAGAAGGAAAACAGCTAATTAATCGGGTCGAAAAAGGAATTTGAAAAGGGAACGAGATGGAAGTCATGGAACATTTTCTACATCCCAAAAGTATAAGGCAAGAATAAACTTAGATATCAGCTTAATTACCTGATATGTGCAGAAACCATAACCTTTAGAGTTTCCTGTCTCTCTATCCTTCACCACCTCAAATCTGCGCAAAGGTCTACAATAGAAAAATTCAATACATCAGAGCTCCAGACATAATATTCTGAAACTTAGTGACAATAGCCATCTAATAAGATTTTTGTACCCAAAAGACTCCAGTAGCTCTTTTATCTGCACTTCAGTAAAGAGGTATGGCAATCCACCAACAAAAATACGATCAGGTTCCTCCGCGTCCCCAGTTGCTCTGGCAAATGATGAGAAACATATGCACATGAAGACGAACAATAAGGATACAGCTGTGCAGGCTAAGAAAGAAATAAAGAGGAGAAAAAGCATATCATAATTTGTTAGAGCAGAGATCATACACAAAAATAGCCGCCCAAAAGAGAAGGCAACAAAGCATTGTAACTGTTACACTGACAGGCGGCGGAGAATGTAAGCACCAGGAGAATGTAAGCACCGCCAATTTTCTCAGTGTANCCCCAAAAAAAAAAGGGACAGGAAAACAGAAATTAAAAACTAACAGGGAACAGTTTTTTAAAAATTAAGGTTATCCAGTAGGAGCATCTCACGATATGTGCACATGAAACCAGTCCAAACATCTAAATTCTCCAAATTCACCTGGCTTTCACCAATCAAGAAGAGGTTCAACACACTGAATTACTCTCCAAAATATACTGGTACGCTCATTAATTACAAGGAAAATGCTTCAAGTTAAGTCTCATTTTCCACAAAGAGGTATCACCTTTTATACAGTCTATTTATCCATGTATTTTTTTAAAAATCACACTTGTACTTTCCATGTACATACGTACCTTTTCCTGATGTCTACAATAGCAATTTATCTTTAAAGTTCATTGAAAAAAAATTGCGGGACACAAAATACAAAATCTAGAATTAGAGATTCCCAACACAGAGGATCCATATGACTATTTGGAATTAAACTGAAGAAATTGACTGATTGGGAAAATACAAAATCCCAGATAGGGACATCTCAATCTATACAAATCAGACCGAGATTACATATTTGAAATGTCTCGTGCCAACCAATAACAACTACTACGCCTAAACTCAAGCAATTTAAGGTCGGCTATATGAATCTTCACCGACCATGAGACCCATATAGTAATAAATATAATAATAATGATAATAAATAATAATAATAATAATAATAATAATAATAATAATAATAATAATAATAATAATAATAATAATAATAATAATAATAATGATAACAAAGTTCTCTATATTTTCCACTGGCATATAAATCACTAAAAGAATCCTAAAAAACTAATGTGAACATACTAATGTGACTAAGGCATAGTCCCAGCTAATAGGTATCACCTATTATAGGTCTTTTTTCTCCATTATACTCTACCTTTAGGCTAGGTTTCCATGGACTCCAAATGATTTTAGGTGTTTCGAGACTACTTCCTTCATGATTTTAGGGCTACCTCGTCCCCTTTCAACACCTTCATTCACCATGGTTTTGCATGTACAGACTAGTGCATCTGAAGGTAGACACAGACACAACACATGACCAAACCATCTCAAGCGCCCTTGCCTCATTTGATTCTCGATGTGTGCTAATTGCACCTTCTGCCGAATGTGGTCATTTCTAATCTTGTATGACCGCACATCCATCTTAGCAAGCACATCTCAGCAACACTCATCTTGTGGATATGTTGAACTTTGGCTGTCAAACATTCATTCCCGCATAACAATGTAGGTCTTATAATTGGCTTACCTTTCTCATAGCAATCAAGTACTAACAATTTCCAGAGCAATTTAGGACAGAGGCACCATTTTCTGCAGCAACAACAGTAAAGGAAAATAGACAGCGAGTTCAACTTACCCAGGCATAAGCCCAGCAGCAGTTAAGTTAAGGTGAGGGCTTGGATGACCAGGACCAAGTGCAGCAGCCAAAGAAGGATTGTAATCAGTAGGCCTTCGAACCCTGACAGAAACACCCTGTTTACAGTAAAGCATAAAGAATAACAAATAGTTAAACCAACAAAATTCACCTGCCAAAACAAAGAACTAAAGGCATGTCATTAATTTATACATGTCATTGTCAGTGGGGAAGAATATTTCGAAGATCTGACTTTCATTTGTCTGCAGAGGATATGTTCAGTGGAACAAGTACTATTATTATGGAGAGCTAATGCCGACAAGAAGATTATAAACTTCCTTTAAAGCCAATAGGTGTCTTCTAAACTATTTCACCTGAACATCCATGCAGAACATTTATGAAGATCCCCGAATTATTGAGCACTATAGGGATAGATGGATATGGCAGATACGGTTCTATTCATGAAGAATCAGGTGGACTGCTTTTCTATCTCATGTATTATAATAGAAATCCACACACACAAAACAAAAAATAAGAAGAAAGAGGAAAAGCAATAAAGAGTGAATCATTTTTTCAGTTAATAAGTTAGAACAAATCTTTACAACAACAACAACAACAACAACAACCCAGTAAAATCCCACTAATGGGGTCTGGGGAGGGTAGTGTGTACGCAGACCTTACCCCTATCCCGAAAGAGTAGAAAGGTTGTTTCCGAAAGACCCTCGGCTCAAAAAAAATAAAAAGACAAAATGACAAAA